ATTTGGATTCTGTACAAATGAAACCTTAATATAAAAGCTCTATTTATAAGAGACCAAATATCTTAATTCTTATAGGAAAACAATATTGTAATCCTTATAAGTCAACAATATCCTACTCCCAGTAGGAATTGGTAATAGTGTTGAAAAATCCTTTTCTTAATAGGATATAGRTTTCCTGTTTTGGCTCTATAATCCCAACAGAACTTGCTGACAATGCATAAGCAAAGAAGGATCAAAGGTGGATGACTACAATGGAGGAAGAGCTGTTAATGATAGAGAAAAACAAAAGTTGGAATCCTTGTGGACAGACCTCAAGGCAGGAAGGTAATCGGAGCCAAGCTTAACGCTGAAGGCTCGATCAACAAACACAAAGCTAGGTTGTAGTTAAAGGGTAGGCTCAAATCTTTGGAGTTGATTACTCTGATACTTTTGTTCATGTTGCTAGATTGTAAACAATCAGGTTACTGCTTGCAATAGCTGCACAAAAGGGTTGGTAACTGTTCCAGTTGGATGTCAAATCATGTCTTACAAGAAGAAATTTATGTTGAGCAGCCCTAAGGATTTATGAAGGAAGGTGAAGGAGATAAAGTCTATCTTCTCAAGAAGGACCTTTATGAACAAAAACAAGCTCCAAGAGTTTGGTATAGTAAAACTGACGAACATTTACTGAACTTGGATTTGTGAAAAGTCTATAGAAACAACTTTGCATGTCAAGCATAATGGTATTGACATTCTTATTTTTTCACTATATGTTGATGACCTACTGATTACGAGAAACAATACAAATCATATTCAAAATTTAAACCTGAAGATGATGAAGGTGTTTAAAATGACAGATCTTGGGTTTATATCCTACTTCCTTGGCATGGAGATCAAGCAAGAGTAAGGTGAAGTTTTCATCTACCAGAAAAAGTATGCAAAGGAAGTATTGAAGAAGTCTTAGATGGAGGAGTACAAGCAGCAAGCACTCCAATGAATCAAAAGAGAAGTGATGAAGGATATTTCAGGAGTTTAATTGGTTGCTTAATGTATCTCACAGCAACAAGGCCTGATATTTTGAATGTTGTAAGTATTTTGTCTCGATTCATGAATTGTGCAAGTGAGTTACATCTCAAGGCTGCCAAAAGAGTGATTCGATATGTCAAAGACACAAGTGATTTTGGTGTTAAGTTCACAAGGAGCAAGGAGTTGAAGCTGGTTGGTTTTTCTGACAGTGTCGAGGGAGGTTCCATTGATGACATGAGGAGCATTTTAGGCTATTGTTTTAGTACTCTTGGCTCTGGTGTTTTCTCATCGAGCTCGAAGAAGCAAGAAACCGTAGCCCAATCCACAGCCGAAGCAGAGTTTATTGCTGCAATAGCTACTGTTAATCAAGCTTTTATGGGTGGGAAAAATTTTACTTGATCTTGATCGAAGTAGAAGGAAAGCACAAAGATTCTTGTTGACAATCAAGCTACTATTGCTATCTCTCAAAATCCTGTGTTTCGTGGGAAGACTAAACATTTTAACATTCTTCCTAAAGGAATTAGGAAACATGGAGATGTGATTCTTGCCTACTGCAAAATAGAAAATCAAGTTGCAGATATTTTAACCAAACCATTGCCTACCTGCAAGTAAAATGCCCAGTTGGGCTGTAAGCGGAACTAATATTATTTACTTCCGTATCATTTGCACTACCTGTTGATGGCTCTACCTCTGTTGATTAAGTAAATGTTTTTTATCATAACAATTTATTCCATATTAATAAATAATGAATAATTAAAATAAAATTACATTGATTAAAATATCTTTATTAGAACCATTATCATTTAATATAAAATATTATTAAATTTTATTATTATAATATTTAATAATAATGAATTCTATTTTTAAAAATGTATTAATATTAATTAATTATAACAAAATAAAATTTATAATAAAATATAAATTTATAATATTTTATAATAAAATCACATTAACTAATAAAAGTGATATAAATTTTTATTAGAAGAAAAATTATTAGTATAGTAAATGGAAAATAAATAAAAAAGTATAAAATAATTAAATAAAAAGTTATGGATCTGGTAAAAGTAGAAAATGTGATAATTAATGTGTGGGGTACAAAATAAGGAATGATAATAAGATTGATGACGGTGTAGGAGATGAATGAAATTGACCATTTTTAGGAACGAGAATGAAAAAATTGTGTGGGTCCTACCATTTGATTCAAATTCCCACAATTTGGTAAATATCGTCATAGGGAATCAAAAAATTGATTACATTCCTTCATTATCATTCCATTGAAGTAAACATGACCTTAGGACAACCTTATTTGCCTATTTTAAGTTACTATTGACTCCTACTACGATGGTGGAAAATACAAGTAAAGTTACCTTTAAAGATAATGTTAATTCAAGAAAACAACTACAAGACACGTGAGAATAACAAAATATTGATTTTTATTTTTTTATTTAAAAGATATCTTTTGGCAAATAAATTTTATGTAGTACAAATGTGTATTATTTTTGAAAAACTATGAAACAGGTACTTTTTAAACATGACTTACAAGTCTTAACTAAGATTCATGGCATACACGGGAAACATCTGTCTTTTTTTCACTTCATTCTCTTCACAAAGAAGAAAGGAGAAAAAAAAAGGTGAAAATAAAGGCAATTATTCCTTTCTTGGTATTTAATTCATACTTCGCACCTCCAATTCGATTTTAAAAAGAAAAAAAATTGAAAAAATGTTGCTTTTTTTTTCACTATGAAATGAAAATTACGTAGGATGAAAAATTCACATTAAAGATATATGTCTTAACCAGTTGAGTTATATTCAAATTGATTATCATATTCTATCTGTCGGCCAAAAAGTAAGAAAGAAATACAGATCTTTGTGGATAGATCTTCTGTACTAATATTTGTTATATATGCTATAGTTTGGTAAATACCCATAAATATAAGTCAAAAAGTGGCTAAACCTTGTTTAGTTGAGTCATGACCCATGGATAACATATATGTTAGGTTTGGATTTGAGACTGTGACCAAATCACTCGTGATAGTCCACACACACATATATATATAATTTAGTTGGGATGAGAAATCAAAGTATGGATCCTTGAGATGTCAATAGAAATTTTATCTACTAAACTATCAAATCAAGATTTTAAATGTTGATGTCAATGAAAATATCGATAACATTCGATGTAGATAGATATTTTTGGAAATGTAATAAAAATAAAAAATTTGCAATAATTGTTGTTATTTTCATATTTTGTCGATTTTTTTTGTGCAATACTATGAAAATGTCAATTTACTCCTTATGTTGATGTTGAACCTAGAAACACATGAAAATGTTGAAAGAAATGTGGACATATCATCGAAATTTTAATACGATTCAGATTGATAGTAATGAGTCCTAAGAAGTTCTAGTTAATATACATACATATTTGAGTTAGATTTGACTATTAATAAATAAGACATTTGAGTTACTATTCTATTATTCCAAGAGTTTGAAATTTTTTTTCCACTCGACTTTTGTTCCTCCCCTCTATAGCTAGTGTGAGATTAGTATTGAAAAATATTCTTATACTCCTTTCGAGAGCTCAAATTAGGGAGGTTCATTTTAATTCCCCACAGGAATGGGACTCCAGAGGTGGAGAATTTCCGTTTAAATTTCTCACTAGAGAGAATGGGGAAAGTTTTTTCCTATCACCTAAACGAGGATGGGGATGAAGAATGCTGCCCACCTCGCTTTTTCATATATATATACTAAAAGAATCTTATTATTCTCTACTAAAAATAATCATGTTGTTCTCTGCCCACCCAATATACAAAGGAGTATTAAGCTACATAAACAAAATTTTATCATTCAAAATTAAACAATTAACTAGAAATTTCTTTTAAAAAAAATTTTAATTGAGAAGTAATTTTAAAAATAAAAGAATGAACGAGAAAAAAATTCCCGTAGAGAACTTGATCTCCGTTTGGAATCTCAGTCCCCACGAAATGTCATGGGGATATGTGTGAATATATTTAGTGAGAAAGACATGCTTCCATGGTGTATAATTGGATTTACTTACAAGTTATAAAGAAAATAGATTAAAAATTGTGCACAAAATAGTTTTAAAATTGTTTCAAAATCTATTTGGTTTAATATTTTTTAATACTTTCATCTCTAGCACATTGTCCAAGAAAAGAAAAAAGCATAGCAAAATTTAAAATTTATAATACTTAAGGTTTATATATATATATATATATATATTTATTTATTTAGTTTAGTCTAACGATTTGAAAAATTTAAATTTCTAATCAGTGAATTGAACGAAGCTTGGAGGAAAATAAAGGCAACATAAAAGAGGTAAATTTCTTAGTGTTCCTCTAAGGTTTTAAGGAGTAAGTCGAAATTTCAAGATTTCTAATCAAAATTTAATTATAAAAGTATCCAAACTATAGGGACTCTAAAACATATATTTATCTCAATAAATTTAGTCATTGATGTTTTAAAATGGACATTGAACCCATTTGAATATTAGTTGACTAGTCGAAACATGATATGATGGTGGTTTAACTGTTTGGTTCCTCTCTTGTAAACTCAGTCGTTGYTACTTCTCTCCTCGCTAGTTTTTGTTGCCACCCTTATCCTTTTTCATCCATAGTTAATCAGGATGTATAGAAAATAGACACAAAAACCTCACACCTCCAATTTTTTTTAGTACAAAATGTGGGGTGGAGATTCGAACTCATAAACTCTTAGTTAGAGATATATGTCAATCACTCTGAAACTATACTTCGTTTGATTAAACCGTTGAATTAAAAAATACGTTTTTCAAACCCCGGATTAAAAGGGTATTTTTGCCCATTTTTAATTATTTGAAATAAACATATTTAACCTAAATTTTATTACCTTCAACTGAAAAGAACGAAGGTAAGTTCGACACGTCGTTTGACGACTGTACGCTGAAACGACAATTCGGCTTGGGTAAGGTTTCATCGTCTCTCTTAAACCCCTGAGATGAAAAAATCCCCCGGAAGGCTCAGCGATGAAAACGCCTCGCCCTCTTTGGGCTCTCCCGCGGCTTCTTTGCTTCATCAGAACTGCAACCTACTCCTCCGCCGCCGTTACTGCTCCGGCCACCGCCGTGAACCCTAGTTTTCCCCTCAAGAATGTCACCAAGTCCAACTTCGAAGCAGTGGTTGCGGAGCTTCGGAATCATGTCCGAGCTGCGGACTTCGTTGCCATTGACCTAGAAATGACCGGAATCACCAGCGCCCCATGGCGCGAATCTTTCGAGTTCGATCGCTTTGATGTTCGCTACCTCAAGGTCAAGGACTCCGCCGAGAAGTTCGCTGTGGTTCAATTCGGCGTCTGCCCTTTTCGCTGGGACTCCACGAAGAACTCGTTTATCGCTCATCCGTAATTGCTTTTCTTCATTGTTTTATTTGGATTTCGTTTGGTTTAATGCGAAATTGCATGTAAATCAGCCACCATCCAGCTTTACTATGATGGAGAAATAATTTCTTTACGTTGAATTTCACACTGCATCGCTCTTTGATTCCAGGCATAATTTTTTTGTTTTCCCGCGTCAAGAAATTCAAGTCGATGGCCCTTCTCCCGAGTTCCTCTGTCAGACAACCTCCGTAGAATTCTTGGCTAAATACCAGTTTGATTTCAACGCCTGTATACATGAAGGTAGTTTTGTTTTCATGTTTCTCCTTGACTTCATGGACACAAAGTTTTCTCTTAACGATAGACAGAGACTTCATCGAATTCATTTTATACGATTATTCAGTCATTCTCTCGGATTTTGAGAACTTGAATTGTAATTAATCTCAGGAATATCTTATTTGTCCAGAGCACAAGAATATGCAGCACGTAAACGCCTGGATTTTGCATATGGGGATGAAATGTCAGATGCATCTTCTAATGTGACTGATATCAAGGATGAGAAAAGGGTCAGCATTTCGGATGTTTTATTCAAGGAAAGAATGAAGAACAGATTGCATGAATGGCGGGACAGATTACTATCTGAAAGGAACGTGGAGTTCCAGGGTCAGGAATGCTCTTACCAACGACCATTTCAAACCATTTTCTTCAAGATGCGTCCTGCTCTTTGTTTGAACGATTTCACCTCTCATCAGACAAGATTGATTCAGCTGGTAAAATAGTTTTATTCCTCAAGTAAATGTACATTTAAGCGTTCAGTTGGTGATAAAGTTGTTCTCTCATAATTATCTTTCACGTCATCATAAAATCTGTATTGCATATTTCATATATATATATATATATTTTATAAGAAACTAAGCTTTCATTATCAAAAGGGATATTTCATATATATTTTAAACTTTAATGCACTAGTTTGTGTATTATTAATATGAAGCTTGGAATATAATAGATATTAGAGTTGGGGAAATGTGGTTTTACTATTCTAAGATGATGGTTATCTTTTGGAGTGGCTAGAAGCTTGTTCTTGTTATGTGAAAAAAATAACCACTTCTGACTAACACCGGAAGAAATTATTCAACGTACCACCCGCCACATTGTGGCTGCCCCCTCTAAACCTTTGGATGCATGGTGAAACTATAATTTTTAGTTTCTCTCTCCTACATACAACATTATTAAACCACTAGCCACACTGTACCAGCCGCATTGAATTATTTCTCCCAAGGACAAAGTCAGAAATTCTGGTAAGAGGGGGCAAAATTTCGTTATCTATAATCTTTCAATTATAAAAATTAGAGGGGGACAAACTAAGGGGCAACTTGGTTCTTGGCTCCATCCTTATCTGTGACATAAATACCTTTCTTTATCCAATATTTGGCCACTTATTCATCAAGTCTGTCCATCCTTGGCAGCACGTTAGTTGCTTGTTAACAGTCTGCATATTATTCATGCAATTCCCTCTTTCTTTGTTGATATCTTAATGCTGTTTCCTTAAGTGATGGCTTTAAGTTGCTTCATATGAAGGTGAACAAATGCAGGTAATCAAGAAGCATTTTACGGATCTTTGTTATGTTCATGTGGATAATGGCAATGCAAATTTACAACAATTAGTTGTGTATGTGGATTACAGAGACGATAAAGAGTTGCTCATGGTCAGATACTTTCCTTTTATGCCATTGCATTTATAGCTGTGCTTATTAGATGTTCTTTTGCATAAACCTTTAGTGCTCTGAGTGGCTAAGAATCGTGAAAATCAATATGTTGTTAGGCTAAATTGTACTAAATTGCTTGATTTATACATTCTCCTCTTAATGTTTTATAAGTTTCATTTCTGCTCTTAATTTTTTAATTTGTCAAAGTAACCCTCCGGTAGCAAATTTCATCAAAATACCTAGTGAAATTAAAAGATTGAGGTTAGAATAACATTAGGGCAAAATTGAGACCAACTAAATTATACAATGTCCTTACCTATGTAATTGGTCATAATTTTGTTCCTAACATTTTAGAAAGTTTCAAATTTTACTTCTAACCTTTTAATTTTTGTTAGGCCTTCTAACAAAATTTCCAATGATTTTCTTTTACAAAAACAAATTAGAAGATGAGAGGTAGAGTTAAAATTTTAAAAATATGAAGGGTGAAATTGAAACCCACTACTGCACATGTTGTTATGCTGAGAAGCACGAACACAGAAAACAAACATGCCAACATGCCAAATGGCAATTTCTAAAAAAAAGTAGGACATGGACACGTTGGGACATGTTTTTCTTAAGAATATATGTGTACTCATTGATATGTTTAATACTTTATAATAGATTAGAGCATGTAATTTATCATAAAAAGGATAATATACTTCACTAAAAGCATTCAAAGTAGATTAGAACATGTAAATTTAACGTAAAATGTAAAATATACTTCACTGAGCTTTAAGATATAGAAGGATTTGGTTGGTTATGACTAGAGGATGAAGATCTCATCTTAATAGTGTAGGAATGATCAATATATAAGGATTAGAATCCATTCTAGAACCTCTATTTTCTTAGCTTGTTAGGTTGGCCTTACATGGGATTACATTGACTGGGCTTTAATTTTTCTAGTGGCATGTTCGGCTGTCTCTAGTTGTGTTGGAAATTAGAAAATTATATATATAATAATAGACACGTTTTTTAGTATGTTGGGCACATGTTTGGAGCGTATCCGAACGAATTTGTGTCTGACACAGAGTTGCCATGCTTCCTTCTTGTTATGTGTATTTGTGTCAACAGTAATAGAAAACAATGTCTAAAAAGTTTGCTTGTAGCACTTCATGCTTTTGGGAGAGACATGAAAGTAAAAATCATTATAAATAATTTACAGCACCTAATGACACATACTGAATATCGTAATGAATGCAGAAAGAGGTAAACAGCGAACGGCAGAAAGCAGCTGAAATGAAGATCCAATCTGCAATTGGGTTTCGTCATGTTATTGATCTTCTCTCATTGGAAAAGAAGCTGATCGTCGGTCATAATTGCTTCCTTGGTAAGGCATTCACCTTAGTTTCATGAGCAATAATCGATTAAAAATTCCATTTCAGATGACACATCTATTTTCTTAACCAGATATTGCTCACATACACAGCAAATTCATAGGTTCTCTTCCTTCAACTGCTGAAGAATTTGTATCTTCTATTGGAAAACACTTTCCATACATCATGGACACCAAAATTCTATTAAATGGCAATAGTATACTTCAGCAACGGATGAAGAAGTCCAGCACATCTCTATCCTCTGCATTGGGCGTATTATGCCCGCATATTGCTTTTAGCTCTCACTCAAAGAGCAGTCCTGCCTTCAACTCGGGTGTGCAAGTGGAGGTTCAAGTAGATGATTTAAGGTAGGTTTTTCATGGCATAATGTGGATGACTAGTACTTTCTAGGCTAAATATACCTTATCGACCTTAGTCTTTTTTAGGCTTTTCTCAATTTAGTCCTTAATATACAAAAATTATCAATTCCACTCTTAATATATTAAAAATCCTCAATTTTGTTCTACATAAAAAAAAAAACGGTTAAAACTGTTAACAAAAATTTGTTCTAGCAGAAAATTATTCTTTTATTAACGTATTTGAGCACGTACATACTACTTGGATGTTACCTAACACATGAAACTCCACCTCGTCCATCAGCATAATCTGACTCGCCCATCAAGAAAAATTATTTCTTCTAAGCGCTACATGTTTATATGTTCAAATATATTAACAAAACAATCATTAATGATACATTAGAGTTTTTGTTACCAAGAAATTTTAAAAGATTGAGGACTAAATTGCTAGATTAAGGATCATTTGATATATTTTAAGCCTATTTTCTTTATTGAACACACCCAAAACTCATGGGTGAAATTCTAACTTGCAACCATGGACTATGGATTTTAGGATCATTTGTATATGTATGTGTTTTGGTTTTCCATTGATTTGTTGATCATAAGTGCTGTGTTCTTTGGAGATCCATATTGTGACATCCTAAAATTATTTAGAAACTGAAAGTATTTAACACTGATTGTAGTTTATTAAAATCCCATTGTAGTTATGTGTTTCAATCTATATGCAGATCCTCCAACTGGAACTCTGGAGATAAACATGAAGCTGGGTACGATGCTTTTATGACGGGATGCGTATTTGCTCAAGCATGCAATCTTATTGGAATTGATTTCGTACGTAGCTCACCTTCTGAAACTTTGGCTGACAATGAGAAATTCCAGAATCATGTAAACCATCTGTATTTGAGTTGGKCCAGTGGAGATATTATCGATCTGAGCACCGGTAATAGAAGAACCGAGTCTTTGAGGTCTAATAGATCCAAAAAGCATCAAGCAAAAATATCGTTCGAGAACATTGTTCTAATATGGGGATTTCCCACCAACATTAATGCAAGGAAGATCAAACAGTGCATCTCTAAAGTCTTTGGCCCGACCAATGTCGTTAGCGTCTACCATTTAGATGAAAGTGCTGTTTTTGTGCAGTTTGCGAAGCTAGAAATGGTTTCTGAGTTTCTTATGCTGAAGGAAAACTTGGAGAGGCATAATGATCCTGTATCAGTTTTGCATCCTCTCTATGAACTTTTTGAAGCTAGAAATACTCATGCCGCATGCTATGAAGCATACAAGGAAATTTGCAGCTCTCCCATTTGTAAACTCTTGTTTGCTGACCAGGCCGAGGCAGTTGGGTTTAATCGGAAGACAAAGTCAATAAAACCCGAGACAGTTAAGAGCCAAATGCACGAAGCTGCCAATGGTTTAACTGCTGATATGTTGGATGGAAACACCGAAATACAGGAGACAGAGATTGGAGCAAATGATATTAGCTGCACTAACTATAATGTCTTAAACTTGTCTTCAATGTAACCCACCCCGAAAACCAAAAACGTATCAGAATTTATCTGCAAACTGGTATTGTGCATTTGCATATTGATGGAGATGCTGTAATGGTGAAAAGGAAAGGAAATGAAAGTCTAATTTATGGAAGTAGAGAATTGGCTTCTTTATATTTGCTGCTAATTAAGCAGAAACCACAGCATAGAGTTCAAATAGATTGTATTGAACTCCCTCCTTCAGGTCTCTAGAAACTTGAAAAGTACATGATTATGGTAACACTAGTGTGATAAACCAATGAAAGAATTTAACAATCAGGCAGAAAAGAAACACAAAAATTAGTTGCAGTCTATTTGGACAATGGTCTCTGGAGTTTCACACTCTCCTTCTCCTTCCTCTACTATAATGTCATCCACAGTCAGTGATAGGCCACAAGAAAATGTTAGGCTAGGCTTCATTTTCGGTACGAACACCGGCTCTGCCTCGTTGTTGAGAATCTGCAGGACCTTCCTTATCGAAGGCCTCACCGAGCTATCTGGGTTTGCACAGCTCAATCCCACAAGCAACAGCTTCCTCATTTCTTCTTCCCTGAACTCCCCATTCAACCTTTTATCGGCTGCTTCGATGATCTTGCCTTGAGAATGCAGTCCCCAAACCCAGTCTACCAGATTGACCATCTTTTGAGTGCCTGCTTCTCTTTCGATCGGCCTCCTCCCACAGGCCACTTCGAGGATAACCACACCGTAGCTGAAGACGTCGGTTTTCTCGGTCGCTTTCCCATACTGAAGGTACTCAGGCGCAAGGTATCCCATTGTTCCTGCAGTTAGAGTTGAAACTGGGCTCTTGTCATGATCCATGAGCTTCGCCAATCCGAAATCGCCCAACCTCGCATTGAAGTTCCCGTCCAGCAGTACGTTACCAGTCTTTATATCTCTGTGGATGACTTGCTGCTCACATTCTTGATGGAGATATGTCAGTACAGAGGCCAACCCAACAGCAACATTGTATCTGTGAGACCAGTTTAGCAAGCTAGCTTCTCCAGTTTCCTGGTAAAGCAACCTATCGAGGCTCCCATTCGGCATAAAGTCGTAAACGAGAAGCAGTTCGCCTTTCTCAACGCACCAACCTTGGAGCTGAACCAAATTCTTGTGTCTCAACCGAGCTATGATCGACAGCTCAGCCAGGAACTCAGTCTTCCCTTCGTGTTCGTGGGAATGTTTCGATCTCTTAACCGCAGAAATGGTTCCCGAGGAAACGCAAAAAGCTTTGTAGACAGTCCCAAAAGCTCCATTGCCAATGATCCTACTGGAGTGAAACCCTTTAGTGGCAGTCCTCAGCTCCCTGTAACTGAACTCTCTAGGGCCAGTCAAAAGCTCTGCCTTGAAGCTCTTCTGAGTTCTAATCTTCCTCCACCTCTTAAGCGACAAGAAACCAAACACAGCAATCACAGCACAAAAGAAGGCCGGTCCCGCGATCCCGAGACCCAACCCGAGCCTGCTGTGACGAGCATTGCCAGAATCAGATATAGAAATGTTTGGGGAAACAATCACGGAGCTATCAGAAACATTATGAGGGGTGAATCCTCCAGGCATGGCAGGAACAAACCCAGAAGAATTAAAGCTCCAACTCCGAATCAAATGAAGCTCAGTACTCCCTTCAGTGGAACCCGAAAACCCCACATACATAACATCCTCAACATACCCAGAAAGATCAACACTCACATCAAGAAGCGGCCGCTTAGGCCTAGAACTCGAATAGCTCAAGAAAACCTTCAAATTAGACTTCTCATTCTTGTACTCAATCCAAGCCGTAATCCACTTCCCACTCTTGAGATCAACCCCCTGAGAAGCAGGATCCGCCGTCTTGATCGAGATCAGGCTCTCAATGTCCAAACCCACATGGTGGGAATCCGGATCCTGGAAGTAGGAATCGAGGCGAGTGTCGAATTCGACGGCCACGAACCTGTTGTTGGTCAATTGAGAGGAATTGACGAGGCCCAAGAACCCGCCGGGGCTGCCGAGGGTCTGGTTATAGGCGGAGAGGAAGAAGGCGAAGCCGTCGCCGGCGCCGGCAGAGGTGGGGTTGGCGTTGGAGATGGAGAAGGAGAATGCTGTGGAGAAAGAAGCGGTGGTGTTGGAGACGGCGTCGCGGAATGCGATGGGGTTGTTGTAAATGGCGGCGCCGGCGCCGGCGGAGGGGACGCCGAGCTCCTTGGTGAGGCCGATGACGCCGTCCCGGAGATGGGAATCGCCGACGAGAGTGAGGTTTCTGAGGCTGAAGGAACCGAAATCGAAGGCTGTACTGTCTGCATACGGCGGAGGGAAGAGGATGAGGAAAATGGGGAAGAGGAGAAGCTTTGTTGAGGGCATTGGGGCCAAAAATGGCGGAGAAAATAGGATCCGAGAATTGGGTTTTCAAGAAACAGAGAGGATTGAATTGAAAAAGGCTTCAGAAATCAGAATCCAATGTTCTTGTTCTTGTTTAGTGGGAAATTGAAAGTGGAGCTCAAACGGTTACAAATGGGGTGGACTCAGAGTCGGCAACGGTACGCTGAATAATCGTTCAGGAAAACGACGTCGTTGGAGAATATAATAAAATTTAATAATTTTTCTGTCAGGGATTAATTATTCTAATTTGACTAATGGTATTAGTGAGCGAGTAAGAGAAGGTCCATTCTGCAGTTTAATAATTCAATTTTGAGTACAATAATTTGAATAAAATAATACATAGCTTTTCATTATTTTTGTTTTTAACTTTTTTTTGGTTAGTTTATGAGTTTTTTATTTGACAAGGTGTATTAGATCAGATTTAAAGAAAAGAAAATTAGTTCAACATAAGTGAGGTGCCGGGATTTGAACATCTAACTTTGAAGAAAGAAGTATGTGTTTCTATTGTTAAACTATGACAAGTCTTGAGCGGTGTAGAAAAATGAAAAATTGATAAATTTTCTAGTGGATGAAAATAGTTTAGAGAAAATTGGTGAGATTTGACTCAATTAYAGGGATGACATCCCAATTTTCTAAACTCAAATCATAAGAATAATTTAACTTCTTTTTTTTTTTTGCCTATGATTTCTTTTTCAGGGATTCTTTTTAATACTTTTAACTTCTAAAATAAATTTAAAAGGCAAACAGGAAAAAAAACATTATAAACAATTGTTCATAGTTTTTAAGATTTAACCATGAATTTTTAAAATATCTTTCAGAAAGTAGATTAGAGAGCAAATAAATTTTGATAGACAATTTTTATTTTTAGAAAAGCTAAAAACAAAATATTTACCGGTCATTATTTTTAATGTATTTTAGGGTAAACATTTATTTTATCATTCTATATTTTTTAGTCTTTTTTTTTTTCACAGTTTCTAAATTTTTAAAATTTCAATTTTGATCCTAAGTATTTATTTATTTTTATTTTCGTCCGTTAATAAAACCCCAATTGGGATCCATTAAAAATTATTTTTTATTTTAGTCACACTTTTAGTGGACTAATTTGTACGAGTTTTAAAAAAAAAATAGAGACTAATTTGTACTCGTTTGTACCGCCAACCTGAGTATAGTGTTTTTTTTTTCCAATACATTTTTTTTGTTTATTTATTTATTTTGCTCTTAAAAGACAGAAAACCAAATATGTTTAATAATGGTTTTGGTTTTTAGATTTTTTAGAAAGTTAGAGAGTTGCATTAAAAGTTACATTGGGAAAAAATTAAAAAAAAAATAGTTGAGCATTAGAAAAAATAAAAATAAAAAGAGATTTTGAAGAATAAAAATCTATTTTTAAAAACTTATTTTTTTTTTAAAATTTGTATACATAGAACTCTAGGAACCTTTTAAGAAAAGAAAAGCAGAAAATTGAATCGATTATAAAAAAAATAATAATATCGGTCTGTACAATCCAAAAACCCCATATTTATAAATCTTAAATCTTAAATTTTATTTTTTATTTTCTAAATCTATATAAGGATAAAGGTGTCCTAATATTTTCATTTATAAAAAATTTATTTGTACTAGTTGCATTTTTTGTACGTTAAACCTCCAGAGAARTTTTACTCCATGGYATAAATTAAATTATATTATTAAAACTGTCACGGTTTTTCATTTATTTAAATATAGCATAATTTTCACTTTTCTTAACATATTTTACCTCACATTTAAGTTGGACTTGGATTGAATTGAACTAATTTATCGTATAAATTCTATTTTTAATTAAAATTGTTACATTTAAAATTTATTACATTGTAATTTTAAAAAGGGAATAGTAAATTTTCTGTCAAGTAGAAACCTTAAATTATTATAATGTTTTGATGAATTAATAGTAAGGTTTTCAATAAAAGTGGAAGGAAAACACTTTTTCAAGCTTTAAATAAAGTTGAAGTACTTAAAAGAAAAATTACTATTTTTGTCTTCAATCTTCTCTTAATATATAGTGTATATTTAAAATGAAAAAAAAAGATCATTTTTCCTCCCATAATTTCTTTTTTTTTCTTCAAATTATTCAATTTGTTTGGAAAACTATTTCTTAAAGTAAAATAAAATATAGGTTTATCTAGACTCCAAATTAAAAAAATATATATATATTTACGTTCCTCATCTTTCAATAACTTCTAATTATGATTCTCTTCYAATAACTATGTTTATTCTGTTACGTGGTATCAAATTAATCCATGTTAGKATAATAGATAATAGATGTTAATTAATAAACATATGGTATGCACTATGGAGAATAATGATTCAAAGCATACGTAACTAATCAAAATTCTTTTTATTGTTAAGAGAATTAAATGAACATGACTATCAAACTTGAGATAAAATTTGTAATTTAAACTAAAATATATGTTTATTTGTTTAAAAGCAAAAAAACAATAAAATCTAGTTTATTACAAATTTTAAGAAGTTATATTTTAGTTTTGGTCTAAATAAAATTTTTGTCATGTGCTTTAAAAATAYCAATTTTGATCCGTATACACTTCCCATTTTTGTTCATCTGGATCATTTTATTTCCAAAATATTAATTATTGTAGCTTTAAAAAGTGATAATTTTGGTCCATATATATTTTTTATCTTTCTTTTTTTACMTCACAACTTCAACGGAATRCTACACTCTATTGTCATAACTTTATATTAAAGAATTTTTTTTAGGTATATAATTGTGTGTCTAGATTTTGCAAATCAATATCAAAACGATCACTTTTTAAAGTACAAAAATGAAACTAGGTAGATTGAAAGTACATGAACAAAAATCAAAATTGACGTTTTGAAAGTATTAAAAGTACAGCAACTAAAATATATCGAAACTAAAACTTAATAATAAAAAATAAGATTTAAATTATTTTTATATTTTTTATATTTTTTGCAAAAAAAAACTAWATTTTATGTTAACATGTGACTTAAAAAAAAAGTTAATTGGAAAGTTTAGGTACTAAAAGCATGATGGAGGGTTGCATGAAAATCAGAATTCCAAAATCTTTCTTGAGAAAGTGAGTGCTCTCTGCAAGACTGCAATGGCACTTTTTGAAAATTACAAAAGTACCCCATGTGACCAAAATGCCCATCAAATAGCCGTTGTAAAAAGACAAAAAGGGCCACAAAAAAAAAGTCGGAAAATGGCCCAACCTGCCCTCTTTCCGCTTTCCAATGCCACCTTTTATTTGGCTGACCAAATCCAATGATTTACACGTGTCCTTTATTTTCATTCTATCCTACAAAAATATTATCAATGTAAACATAATATTAATAACAGTAAAATTCAAACTTATTTAAAAAGGTGTGATAATTTATTATTTAAATATTTTCATCCATTTTACTTTGGGTTGGATTTTCTTTTTTTTTAACATATCAATCTAATTTTCTCCATCTAAAAATTTAATATTTTTTTAAAACATTTCTCCATCATAATTCACGTTTTAGCTTTTCTTTTCATCTCTAATCTATTTTTTCTATGAAAAATATCTCCAATTTATCTCTCTAGATCTTTTTCTCCTTTACTCCTCTATTACTATAATTATTATTTCTCTTTCTATTTATTTATTTTCTTTAAAAAAATATATTCCGAACTTTTTTTTTCCTAAAGTTGGTTCTCACTATAATTTTTCTTTTTTCTTTTCCTAATTTTTCTTTAATATGTTTTTTTGTTGTCGACTTTATTCTC